GTTCTTTGAGTTTAGTATTTAGGCCATATATATTTGAATTTACTGTTTGAGTTTGACTTGATTTGAGTTCTTTCAAGTTCAAATGAATTGAGTGTCAATTAATTTCTAAATATTCCATCTCAGTCCAAAACTGAGTGCCACTCGATTTGATATGCTCAAGCTCTATTCATTTATGATATATTAATATACCCCGCTCGATTTGATATGTTTAAGTGCTATTTCTTTATAATGTAAAAATATTTTTTGTGGTGAAGAAATAACAAAATATCACCATTAGCTTTATAGATAAGATATAAAATATCACCATTAACTTAATAGATAAGACGTCTTATATCAATTCACCCACGAGGTGGGCGGAACTATGAAGGGGCCTAAAGGGGCATGACACACTCAAATTTTCAAAAATCACTATAACATCTCATAAGTTTTACAAAAAAAACCTATGTTTCTCCTTAGGTTCTAAAAAACTTTATGCATAGACAATTTACTTGATGCATGTGAAAAGACCAGGTATTGAAAAGCTAAGTGTGAGATGTAACACATGGATGAATGATGGTTTTATAATCGAAAATATTTGGTTGGACGAGTTTGATAAACAAAGGAAGTTAAAAAAATATATAATTTATTTGTAAAACTAGATTATAAATATAGCTTATATCAAAAAGTAATATGTTGACTCACGACCCAATTTTATTTTACCATGTGAAACTATTATTTGTGACGATAAATTATTGTCAAGTAATTTTTTTTTTTGGGAGGGGGAGGGGGAGAGGGAGGAGGAACTTGAACCCTTGACCTGAAGAAGGAAAAATCTTGACAAGATAAGGAGTACTATTGGACTAAATGACCAAATTATTTATTTTTTTTAAATTATTGTCAGGTAATTACATGACATTATAATGTGGAAATGAAAGTATAATGACTCCATCACAAACTAATTTTTTATTGACTGTATGTAACATGCACCACCTTAACTTTATTCTTTTGTCTTTCTCTTTTGAAGCTTGATCATCAGACTAAGCAAATAGCAAACTTTACCAGTTGGAGTTAGACAAATAGAACAAATACTTTACTTGAAATAATAGTTAAGCATAAAGAAGTCCTCCATGGTACCCATGTATTCCTATATATAGTTCTCTTAATTGGTTGCACTCGCTGGAGCAAACAAATTGGCACATAGAGCTCTTTAAATAAGTAAGTTCAATTACTTTCAATTTTTATTATGCTTTAATTTAGCGAGAATTCAAATTTTCAATTCACAAATTTGCACTCTTACTTAGTTATTTGCTTACTCATTATTATTGAAATTTTTATTTGAAAAGTACTGACTCATACATAAAGGTACACATTATAGTAGAATGATATTTGTAACTTATAATTGCTATTTCAAGACCTTATAATCAATATAACTTTAAAAAATAAATAGCATTCCACATAGTTGTGCATGAAATTTAATTTTTTATATTTTATTTTTATGAATTTTTATTGGTGAATATTTGTCTTGAAGCATCTAGTATGACGTTCTCAAAGTGCTCCAGCTCTCAAATATTTTTAAATTTTGTTACTTTTACACTATTGCTCTATATGATCTAGGTCACACTCTATGAATGTAGGCAAGATTTTTTGTCAAACCATGTAAATATCTTGTGTCTTTATGTGCGTATATTAATTATTTCTTGTTAGGTTATTATCTATTTTGATACTCAAATCATCAGTCTGTCATGACAAATATATGCACGACTATTGTGAAGGTAGTTTCAAACTTTGCCGCAAGTGAAGATCATGATTTTAAACTATTTTATTTTTAGTGTTATAATGTTTTAGAGGCCATCATTTTTTTTCAGAGAAGGCATGGTATGTATTTCCTATAAGATCAGTTATAACTCCTCTGAGTTTAAAAGTTTGAGATTTGGGCAGTAGGAGTTTGAGGTTTGGATTGGGTTCAAATTGAACATTTTCAAATTTGGACTAATCTTTTAATTCACCTACTTCATCGTAGTTGCATCTCTAGTATTGAACACCCATTCATTATCCAAACTCAATAAAGTTAGATTCAAACTCACTAATTTAATGTATAATTTGTGAGTATGCCTCACAAATTTAAACATGATCTGAAAATTCAACAAAAAATTAGATTGAGATTTAGTTTTAAGGAGTCGGGTGACCAATGAGTGGACATGTTGGACTTGGGAAATAAGATTGGTTGACATGAGCTAGGCAAACAAGATACAAATATGGCTTAATATGGGTTATACACAACACAAATTTGATACGATATGAACTTAACTATACATAATTATAAATGGATCAAATATGAGTTGAATAAATTTTTACACATTGCATCTTGTTTTGCAATATAATCAATTAATAGATGACATGTAGGATAGATCTAAAACTTCACTTCACTACTACTAGTAAAAAAAAAAACAAACACTTTTCTTGAATGTAGGAAAGATGCATCATCTTCACTTTATTCTTTTGTCTCTGTCTATGTAGGCTAGGTGACCAAAACTAAGCAAATTAATAATTAACTTTACCAGTTGTAATCAAACTAACGGGCTTTTGGTGAAGGATTTACTTTCTAATATATTTTTTAATGCATGTAAATGTTTTTGTATAAAATAGTGAAATTTTTTTCGGTAATCGTTTGCCACCTCTAATGCAAAATCTGGGCTCCACCCTTGAGCATAAAGAAGTCTGTTAACACGTCAATCTACCTGACAATAGCTTCGTGGGACTATAGGCTGCGAAAGTATGCCCTACATTACTTAGGGTTTTTTTTTTCGCCAACTAATCATGACGGAAGATGTGTTGATTGTGCCTTCTTTCTTCTCTAAAATGTCACCAGGTACCAGAAAAAGAATGGACAAATATCCCCATATTCCATTGGTACATTCCATTAAGAAGAACATACTTGCTTTACCTTCCTTATCGCCCGAATACTGTATCTATAGAGTTCCAAGACGAATTCGAGAACGGAACCCAAAAGCCTATACACCCCAAATAGTTTCTGTTGGCCCTCTACACCATGCAGAAAAGGAGTTGGTAGGCTTGGAAGAGTTCAAATTAAGGTGCTTGAAAGCATTCCTTGGTCGTATTCACATCACTTTGGATGATTGTGTAAGCATGATAAAAGAGTTGGAACAGGGAGTTCGCAATTGTTATGCAGAAAGATTTGATAAGCTTAATAGTGATGGCTTTGTGAACATGATCCTTTTGGATTCTTGTTTCATCATTGAGGTGTTTTTGAATATTGGATATGCTGATGATCAAGTGGTAGAACTAGAAGGCGTAATATTACTTGACCATCTAAGTGATCAACGGGTGATTACTCAAGTGAAATCAGACATAATATTACTTGAAAAATCAGCTTCCATTCTTTATAATGGAGGGTCTATTCAACCTAGCATTCCATTCAAACCCAGACTACCACCTGCCCTCTTTCCCCAGCTTTCTATGTTTTGCATCTGAGCCTTCGTTCCGATTGAGGACATTGCACTGGATATATCAAATACTGAAGTGAAGCATTTTGTTGATTTGCTAAGGGTATGGCTCTTACCGTCAAGTCCACGGTCATTGGATTGGGAAGAAGATTTTTATTTTTCAGAGATGCCACAAGCAACGGAGATGTAAGAGGCAGGAATGATTATGAGTGCATCATCAAACCATCGTTTACTTGGCATAACATATATAAATGGAGTGTTACCAGTCCCTAGATTAATTGTAGAAGACGGGACCGAAGTTTTATTTAGAAACCTTGTTGCTCTGGAGGTATGTCATTATTACCCTGATACTTACATAATTGATTATCTTGTTTTCATGGATAGGCTTATTGACTCTGCTCAAGATGTGGAGTTATTTATAGCCTGGTAGACGACAGCTCTGCAGTGACATATGTAAGGGCGTGAATAAATATTGCAATGTCCCACGACATAAATAGAAGGCAACTCTGAAACGTGATTATTTCAGTACTCCCTGGAGAACTACTTCCACTGTTGCTGCAGTTATATTGCTTGTGCTTACCTTTATTCAAACCATCAAGGCATTTTTCTGACACAAAAAAAAAAGTTATGCAGTTATAAGAGAAGTTATGCTTGTTAGCAAGTTTCTGTCTAAATACTTGATGGTTTTAATTCTCATCGTATTTGTACTTTTGGACATTCAATAGGTATCATGGTTTGAAGCTTCATTGCCTGTTGACATATGATTTACTTAAATTAGAGATCTGCTTGCTAGTCAGGTTTGAATGACTATAGAATCAAAATTATGTAACTTTTGATGCAATATGTATGTCGTGTGTATATATATAGTAGCACGGTAATGGAAATTATGCACCACAATCTTTGGTAGGAATTTTTCACGTGAATAGTTAGATCGAAATCCAAGGGTCACTAAGTTGTCATGGAAACTATGCACTAAGCTGTCATGGAAACTATGCACCGTACCCTTTGGTAAGTTCTTTCTATGTGAGCCAATAAATTATGATCTAACGGTCACTTCCCAAAAGCACTTGGAATTAAATGGTAAAACTTACCAAATTCAAACACTAAAAACTCAAACCCAATATTCCGATACTGTAAGTTCCTATTTAGCTTATGTGTGTGTCTCCAATCATGTGCAACAAATGGCTCTAGATCAATAGGCTGAGGCAATAAATTAAAGCACCCAGTACACAAAGAGAAAGGAAAAGTAAGGCATTTGCCATTGATCCTCTCAATAACAGTAATGATGCTAAAAAAATCCTTCACCAATTCCTAAATGTCAATCTTTTGGGAATTGAATACATGGCTCTCTGTGCCTTTCCCCAACCTCATTGAACCCTAGAATTTCCATGTCAAATTTTTTCTCATCCTCCCCTTATTTCCTTCAATCCTCCATTTCCTACCGCTACCCACCTCATTCACTCAAATCCCCTCTTCTTCTCGTCCTCTGTTTTCTTCTGCTTATCCTTTGCTCAACCTTCTTTCCAATTGATTTATGCAAACCGTTCCAGCTCAGCCATGACAGGGGAGGCATTGACTTCTAAAGATCCAAAGAAGATCAATGGGGCTCCTACTTGTTCTACCAACTACCAAGCTATTAATGAAAGTGGGTCACTCCAATCTCTCACTAAAACATCACTAGGCAGTGAACAAAAAGATACTCCCCAAACCCACCATCTTTGCCGAATAAAGTTATTGCAAACAAGACTCCATGCGCGACTTCAACCACAGTTGATGTTGAGATAGAGGACCACCACAACATCCAAGAGTTCCCAACTCTCCCTACGGGTAACAATGTTCGGGACTCTTCCCCTGTTCCTACGGTTGGGGGATCTTCTAATGGGCAGCATCCAAGCAAGCATATGAGTGTTCCACAAACTAAGCCCACACCTACAAAGCCATGGAGCCAAGTATTAAAGCAGAATGCTATGAAAAAATCCAGCTCTCTGTAACAACACCCTTCTGAGATAATGAACCTTCAATACTTTAAACCCAAAAGAGAGAAGAACAGAATCATTGTCCCCCCCCCCCCCCCCCCCCCCCATGGAAGTTGTCTCTAAGGGCTGTCATGAGTGGAGAAACTGCTTCGTTGGTTACTTCATAGAGAAAAAACTCCCCTTGACATCTGTTAGCTTTATAGCTCACAAGATTTGGGGCAAAATGGGCCTCCTTGAGGTTTATGTAAATGAAAAAGGGGTTCCATTTTTTTAAGTTCATGGATGATGAGTTAGAACCAAAGTATGTGAAGCTGGCCCTTGGCTTTTTTCTGGTAGGCCACTCATCATCAAAAAGTGGCATCTTGATCTTTGTCTAACCAAAGAGAATCACTCTGTAATTCCACTATGGATTAAGTTACATAACATCCCCCTCCAATTTTGGAGTGATGAAGGTCTAAGCTACCTTGCTAGTGTAGTGGGTAAACTGCTTTAAATGACACTCTTACTGCAAATAAGAAGAGATTAAGTTACGCAAGATTATGTGTGGAGGTGAATGCTATTGAAAAACTGGTTGAGAGCTTTGACCTCCTCATGAACATCCGAGGGAAAATTGAAACCATAGAGGTCAAGGTGGAGTACCAATGGAGACCTAAAATTTGTCATAACTGCTGCATTTTTGGTCACACCGAGTCAACCTGTCCCAAACAAAGAACTGTGGAAAGCTGGAAGCCCAAACCAGCTCCTTTACAAGCTAGCTCAGATAGGCTAGATAATGGAAAGGCAATTGCAACTATGACTGGGTTAGAACAGCAAGAGGCTGGTCAGACTCAAGTAGAGGAATTGATAGGAGGTTACCAAGCTTCTTCCTTGGTCACGGTCAAGAATAATATGGGAATGGTTATCCAAGGTGGCGCCTCTACCTCTTCTCAACAAGAAATTTTGGGTCATGATCACCATATCACTAAGATAACAGTCAATGAGAGTACCCCTCCCCAACTGCTCATGCAAGCTGGTGTTACTTTGGCATCTAACAAATTTGAGGAGCTCAACAAGGAGGGGGCAAATTGTGGTTGATTTAAAAGGGAGATCGAGCCTAAAGCAAATGTACCAAGTGAAACAACCGAGGATGTCCGTAAGGAGGAGGAACTAATTAGTGCTAAACTTCAACAAATGCCAAACAAAAAGAAGAAAGGGAAGAAGAAAGACTCAAAGTCCAAGGTGGCTGAGCACCACTTGCTCAGAAAAATCCAACCCCCTCAATGAATTGTGCATGTTGGAACATTAGAGGTATTAATGAGACTTCTAAACATGGGGAGGTTAGGAAAATTATTTTTGAACAAAAGCTTGATATTTTGGGGCTGGTTGAAACAAAGGTGAAACCTGTAAATAAAAATAGAATCATACAGGGGGTCTTTAGAGATTGGAATTGTCTAGCAAACTATGATAGTCATAATTTTGAAAGGATATGGATTGGGTGGAACCCAGATAATGTGGACCTTAGTAAGTTCTCTGAGTCTGATCAAGTTATCCATTGCAAGATCAAGCATCTTGAGAGTAAGGTACAATTCATAACCTCTTTTGTCTATGGATTTAATGATGATAGAGAAAGAAGACCATTACGGAGAAATCTTATCTACCATGCTAGTATCTCTCAAATGAACCTTGGGTGGTTTTAGGTGATTTTAATGCTATTAGGAGCTTACAGGAAAATGAAGGGGGACAGAACAGATGGAACTCTGGAATGGAAGAATTTGATAAATGCTTACAGGATTCCTAGCTTATTGATCTCAAGTACTCAGGTATTCAATTTACATGGCGTAATAAGAGAGATGATCCTGAATGTGTGGCTCGTAAGCTGGATAGAGTCGTGGTAATGAAAGGTGGAGCCTCACATTTCAACAGGCTATGGCAGATTTTTTACCTCTTGGTGTTTCTGACCATAGTCCTGCTGTTGTGCATTTGGGACTTCAAGTGGAAAGGAGAAACAACCCTTTCAAATTTTTTAACTTCCTTGCTGAGATAGAGGATTTCTTAGACTTGGTGAATCAGATTTCGTCACAGCCTATACAAGGGACTTGTCAGTATCGTGTTTGCTGCAAACTCAAACTTCTCAAGACAATGTTTACAGTGATAACCAAGAATATTGGGGAAGTTACAATTAGAGCCAAAAAAACCAAAGAAGCTTTGGAGAGATGTCAGAGAATGCTGGATGGTAACCCAAGTGACATTGCCATGAATAAAGAGGAACAACAACTCCTTGCAAAGTACATTCAAGTTGCTAAGATTGAGGAGGGATTTTACAAACAGAAATCTGGGGTCTAATGGCTCAGCGAAGGGGACAAGAATACATCTTTCTTCCACAAGACTGTGGCTAATAGAAGGAACAGAAAAATGATTTTGGCTCTTACGAGAGTTGATGGCATAAGGTTAAGGGGGAACAAGCTGTGAAAGTTGAGGCTCTGGATTATTTTCAAAAGCTCCTAGGATGGCCCTCCTATTCAAATGAGAGCAAGGATTCATTGCAACCGATTATCCAAAACAGAGTTACTGATCAACAAGCCGCTGAAATGGAAAGGGAAGTCACTGAGGAGGAAATCAAGAAAGTTTTTTTCTCTTTCAATGACCAAAAAGCCTCATGTCCTTGATGAGTTCAATGCTGTGTTTTTTAAAAGGGCTTGACATATCATAGAGAAGGACATTGTTGCTGTTGTGAAGGAATTTTTCTCAACGAGAAAGTTATTGAAGGAGGTAAACAGTACCATCATTGTGTTAGTACCCAAGGTTCCCAATCCTACTACTATGGGGGACTACAGACCTATTTCTTGTTGCAATGTCATGTATAAAACTATATCCAAGATTATTGCCAATAGGATTAAAGGTTCTCTTCCTAGTCTTATAAACCCAAACCAAGCAGCCTTTGTCCAGGGAAGAAAGATTGGTGACAATATTCTACTCACTCAAGAGTTAATGTGGGATTACCATAAAAATAAAGGGTCCCCTAGATGTGCTCTAAAGGTGAATTTGAGGAAAGCTTATGACACACTTGACTAGACTTTTCTGTTTGAAGCATTGGAGGCTCTTAATTTCCCTTACACCATGAGGAAATGGATTCAAGCATGTGTTACCTCTGCTAGATTCTCAATGAATATCAATAGTGGGCTAGTTGGATACTTCCCTAGTAGGAGGGGTTTAAGGCACGATGACCCTATGTCCCCTTACCTTTTTGTTATTGCAATGGAGTGTTTATCTCTTCTTATCCAGTTCAACATTAGTTCAAATCCAAGCTTCAGATTCCATTGGAGGTGTAAAACTCTCAAAATTGCCCAACTTTCATTTGCTAATGACTTGATGTTGTTTTGCTAGGTGACATGAACTCTGCCTCTGTGATTAAGAATTCCTTGGACCAGTTCAGTGTGGCATCAGGACACCATGTTAATGCAAGAAAGAGTAATATTTTCTTGTGTGCGATAAATGAAGATATTGCTTGTCATATCAAGAATTTGTTTGTTGTTGAGGAAGAGAATCTGCCAATCAAATACTTAGGTGTTCCACTCATTTCGTCTGGTTTGAAGCATCAACACTACTCCAGTCTTATTGAAAAGGTGGAATCAATAGTTAAGTCTTGGGTTAATCGATCACTTTCATATGTTGGTAGAGTTCAGTTGGTCATTTCTATTCTGTGCAGCTTGCACATATTCTGGGCCTCTCATTTGAGTCATCCACAGAAGGTTATTCATAGAATTGAACAGACCTTGAGATCTTTTATCTGGAAAGGTATTGATCTTAGTCATACGGGAGCAAAGGTCTCCTGGAAAGAGGTATGTAAACCTAAAGAGGAAGGAGGGCTTAGTATCAAAAGGTTGAGGGATTGGAATAGAGCACTGTTTATGAGTCACCTATGGCAGCTTTTTAATGACAAGGAGAATTTATGGTCTTAGTGGATTCATGCCTATTACATCAAGGGGAGAATCCTTTGGGACCTCAAAGTCACCCAAGCATGCTCTTGGAATTGGAGAAATTTGCTTAAACTTAGAGAATTGCTCAAGCCATGCATTATCCACAGGGTAGGAAATGAGAATGCTACTAGCCTGTGGCTGGATAACTAGCATCCCCTTGGTACACTCCTTCAAATAAGCGACCTAAGGATCTTGCTAGAATCCAGATTTTCAAGAAATGCGAAGGTTAGCAAAATTATTTTGAACAACCAATGGAATTGGACAATTGGTACTTCCATTCAAGTGTAGGAAATCATCGATGCAATGCCAAGCTATCTTCTTGACCAAGATACTGAGGATTCAGTTAAGTGGACTTTAACTGTGGGGGGTAACTTTTCTGCTAATTCTGCCTAGGAACATATCAGGAGTGAAGGTCCAACTGTGCAATGGTATAAATTTGTCTGGTATGGTAAAGTTATCTCTAGAATAGCCTTCATCCTCTGGCTTGCTATCAGATGTAAGCTGAGCACCAAGGACAAAATTCAAAGATTTGCAGCTCAGATTGACCCACAATGTGTTCTATGTAGGAGAGCTAATGAAACACACAACCATTTGTTTTTCGAATGTAATTTCTTTAACAAGGTTTGGAATGGTGTTATGCTCCTGAGCAACCAGCAGTGGCAGCAAAGACAATGGACTGATTCAATTTCTTGGGCTGCTAAACAGTGGAGAGGGAAATCAATGAAGACAACTATTCTAATGCTTGGTCTTTCTATTATTGTCTATTCTTTGTGGACTGAGAGGAATGGGAGAATTTTCAAAAAGTAGAACAAAGACCCAAGTTCTCTTCTCCATTCCATCACGCAAACCATCAGAGAAAGGCCCATATCCTTGAAATTCAAAAGAACTCAACAAAATGCAATTCTGCTGCAACAATGGAACCTTCCTGAAGCTTGTGTTGAGCTGAGTTGAACCGTGGATCCCTCGGTTTGCTTTGCATTTTTCTGGCCTTTTGCTGTTGGGCAGTATTGCCTTTTCTATGAAGGGTTGTTTGCTCTGGCTGTGCTGCGACTTGGGGCTGTTCTGCTTGTGCTGGTATGTTATGGTTGAAGGGTCTCTTATATGCTAAGAGCATCATTGGATCCTCTCCTCTGTTCTTGTTTGAGAATTTTTAACGCTGCTATGTTGAGTTGGGCTGTTTTGCTTTGTCCTGTGGCCTACCTGCTGATTAGGGGTGTCAGATTGATGGCTTTTGCTGCTATGTTGAGCTGGACTGCTTTGTTGTATTCTGTTTTTACTTCTGCATATGGGTTGTTGTTGCTATGTTGAGCTGGGCTGGCTTGCTTTGTCCTGTTTTCTTCTACTGCAAATAGTTTGTTGCTGCTATGTGGAGTAGGGCTGTTTCTGCTTTGTTTTGGGCTATTTTGCTTTGTTTTGAGGTTGTCCGCTTGATGTTTGTTGCTGCTATGTTGAGATGGGCTGCTTTGCGTTGTGTTGGTTTTTTCTGCTACTATGGCGTGCTCTGCTACTGTCTTTTGGCTTGCTCTTTGTTGCTGTACTTGGGTTGCTGTGTTTTGATATATTGGTTTCATGCTCTGTATTCTTGTCAACAATTTTGTAGTAGATGCTCTTACTTAGGGCATCTCTTACAGACTTGTGTCATGAGCCCTGGATTTTTGGATTTTTTGTCTTGTATTTGGGTCCTAAGTGACTCCATTGTACATTTTGCGAGTGATTACCCTTGTATATCTGTTTCATATTATTACATTTACCTTCCGAAAAAAAAATAGTAATGAGGTTGTGAATGCCAACCTTTCCTTCTCAATTTAGTCACACACAATCCTTGAAACCAACTGCTTTGACAAAGTAGTACCCAGCAACAAGATTATTCATGTGTGGGAGAGACAGTTAAGAGTTGTACAAGTTTAGGGTTGGGTGTTTAAATTTGAATTGCGTTTGACTCTTCTTTTTTTTTCAAAATTTTAAACTTGAATTGTTCAAGTCAACAATTTTTTTTTCACGATATTCAATATAAATTAGATGAAGTTAAGATCATGTCGCATTCATGTAGATAGAATTTTGTCTATTCATGTGTATTTTGCATGCCTTGATTATAATCAAAAACTTACTATGGAAATTTACAAAAAATTGTAGGGCGAATTGCACTATACACCCAATTTTTTTTTTAGATTCTCACTTTGTACCTTCAAAGATTAAATTTCTCACATTTTAGCTTAATATATCAAAAGTGTTACAATATGACTCATATGTTAACTTTTCGTTAGCATTTCCCTATATCAATAGGTTGACTTTTGGTGAAAAAAACAACAACAACTAGCAGCATGATTATATTTCAATACTTTTGATATATTGAGGATATAATGTAAAAAAATTAATATTTGAAAGTGCAAAGTAAAAATTTTAAAATCTTTTAAGGTACAAAATACAAAAGAGTCCAAAATTGTAAGACATCGAATGGCCTCTCTTGAAATAAAATTCTAATTCTGTCCCTAGGCTATGCTAATGGGTGCCCAGGGGAGTCCATGGGATGGGTTGGCCCACGGGACCCGTTACTCGGCCCAAAAAATAGGTCTGAAACTTGATAAGTTCAATAATTGGCATGTCCGAAACTAAGCCCAATATTTTTCAAGAAAGGGTTCGGACTTGCTCCCAAGCCCAGTACTCAGCCTATTAGCCCACCCTAAAAAATCTAGCCCAAAAACCCGCCCACCAAGCCTAGCCCAACACAGCCCAATTCATCCACCCACTTTGTTTTGAAAAAAAAAAAATTGTCAAGTTAGGTAAGTTAGATGACATATTACTTTATTATAATCTGTTTATATTTATATCTATACTACTTATAAATGTTAGTATATGTGAATATTTTATTATTATTTTTTTATCCCTAATTATTATAATAAAGTCAATTATACCCAGCTATATATTTTCATCTAATTTGTATTTTTTTTACACATTTAATTTTTAACTTGTTTTTAACTCTTCTATAAGAATTTTTAAATTCTTTTGAACTCATTTATTAGTAATATAGTTACATACAATTATCTATATCTATATAAAAAAATAAAATCCTATATATATTAAATTATTATATAGATGTAGTTATCAAGTTGAATTATACGGTCAAATGTATGTTATGCTTTATTTTTTATTATGCAATAATATAATAATATTATGCAATCTAATCAAACAATTTATCAAAATAAAAATTAATAATTATATAATATAACTAGATGTGCAAATAAGTAAAGGAATCCCGAAAGATACCTGAATAAATGATAAATAAGTTACTCAAAAACTTATAGAATAAATCAATAATTAAATTTAGTAATAATTAAAATATTACATAATTATTTGGAAGCTAATTTATTATTTAATTTAATTATGCAAACAATTAATATTTTTATAAAAATAATATCATTTAAATTTATTTAGGTGCAACCCACATCATTCATTACTAGTTTATTACAAGGTGGGCCATCTTTTAATTTTTGTAAAAGATGCATATGCACTCATACACATCAGCACATGTTTTTTTTTTAACAAACAAAGCACATGCCTCGGGAACAAGAACAACAGTCAAAAAATTGACTATATTTTAAAATGAAGATATATAATGACTTAGGTCTATCCTACCCAGGGCTAGTCTGAAAAAAAATTCACGAGCATAGGCCGACCTATCCTGTTGACACCCTTCCGAGTGCTGATGATAGATTGTGGTAGCAACAGTGATGGGCAATGGTAGTGGTGGTGATGGTGTTGGCAATTGTAATAGGTGATAAGTGATAGTGGTGGCAACGATGAATAGTGATGGTGAGGTGGTAAGTGGTGGTGGTGGTGATAGGAAGGAGAGTGTATTATCAAAAATTGGTCTTTTAGCCACAAAAATTGTTTCGGCTAAATGTGTAAAAATTGTTACTAAATCTTTTAGTGACAATGTTTTTATTGTCATAGGACCACGAGAATATGTGTTGTGACTAAATAATTTCACTATGACATTTTCATGTATTGCAACTAAAAATAAAATTTTTAGCCACGATAAGAAATATATTACTAAATGTGTAATATTTAACCACAATAACTATTGTAGTAAATTTAGGTAATTTTGCCACTAAAATTTACTATGTCACTACTAACGGTATGAAAAAAAAATACGACTTTTAGTGGCAAAAAAAAGATATTGAGGATGTTTAATTATTCTTAAGGCTCAATCATTGTGCCTTGTAGACCTTTCTGAAGTTCGTTGAGTTTAACATTTGGGCCATAGATTGTTATGTCTATCCATTTATGATATATAAATATACGTTCAATTTAATATGCTCAAGCTCTATTTGTTTATCATATATAAATATTTTTGTGGGTTCAACATTGATTGGGCTTGTGTTTTTGGAATTACTTACCTAAGAATATGACATAGAAACCAAAGCTGGACTTGAGCAGGCAAGCGAACTCGAGCTGAAGTTGAACCAGTGATAGTCTATTCGAGTAGAGCCTAAACACCAATTAAAGTTGGCTAAACTACATATTTTTTAATTGACGGCATGTAACATGCATCACCTTAACTTCATTCTTTTGTATTTCAATAAATTTCCAGTTTTATAATGCTTTAATTTCATTTCCATTTGAATAATTAGTTTCCGTCTTTATTTCAGTTGCAAACATATCTGGAAGTTATTATTGTGAAGACTTTAGACATATAATCAAGGCATATATGTAGAGTTAGTAAGCGTTCATTGTGAAGATCTTATATATCCTTGTCTTATTTGTCTTCTGGCATCTAATTGTAACAAAATCTTTATCTATACCAGCATTATCTAGGTCAATATATCATAGTAGCTCAGCTGTCGATAGTATAGGTTGTGGAGGGTCTAGAGCAACAATCATAAGGTTCTTCAAAAGGATTGTTTTTGGAGTAAAGCTATTCAGAACTAAATATCTGAATAGCATAAGGATTCTTCTTAGAGTAATGCTATTCAGACCTTCCTTTTATTCTAATTTTGGGTACTGTGCATCTACCTATAGACTACCGAATTTCTTGGTTTATCATCAGAGCAGAACTTCACACAGGTTCAGTGTGGAGGATATAAGTGAGAGTGAGGTTGCGAAAGGTTATACATGGGGGTTTAAGGGCTTGAGTTTTGGGATTCAAATCTATGTGCTTAGCTTGTATTGGTACTTTCAATTTCTCTCATAATAGATTAGGCCACGCCCCTGAGCATAGGCAAGATTTTTTGTCGAATCACGTAAATCTCTTGTATCTTTTTGTGTGTGTACAGTAGTGTTAATTACTTCTTGTTATTTTATTGTCTATCTCGAAACTCAAATCATGAGTTTATAATAATAAAATATTTGCACGACTATTTAACAGAAACTTCCCCAATTATTGTGAAGGTAGTTTCAAACTTTGCCGCACGTAAAGATTATTAATCTGAGCTATTTTATTTTTAATGTTATAATGCTCCAGAGGCCATCACTTTTTTTCATAGAAAGCATAGTATTTCCTGTAAGATCAGTTATAACTCCTCAAGTTTAAAAGTTTGAGATTGTGTTTAGGTTGAACATTTTAAAAAACTTGGGTTAATCTTTTGCTAGGATTTGCATCCCTAAAACACCCCTTCATTATCCAAACTCACTAATTTTATGTCGGATTTAATTATCATTTTTATAATTGCCATACACAATCGTAGTTTTGATAGGCTTACTGACCAACCCTCCCAACTCAATCATATTGGTGTTTGTCTTTTGACATATAATTGTTATTTTCCGTCCGTCTTCTCTCTCAAGTCGAGGGGTAAAGGGAAAGCCACTACTTTTCTTTGTTTTGTAGGACTAATTGCATTTGCCCCTCAAACAGTACTTTTAAAAGTTTTATTTTATCCTCTCAAAGATAAAAAGTACTATCACACACTGTCCGTTTAGTTTCTTAGAAGTATAGCAATTTGCCCCAAAACCTCTACAAATTTGTCACTTCAGCCTCTATAAATTTGTTCACTTTGGTGCCATAGAAATCGTGGTTTAAATTGACCTCAAGTGTGGTCATGTTTAAAGTACTTGACCATTTCCATTTAGTCAATTTAAATCATGGTTTGTGGAGTAACCATTGATTTAGGAATAAGAAACCTTCCTTTCTAAATATAGAGCTAAACGGTTGTTTTTATTTGTTCAAAGTCACCCAAATCTCAGCAAATAGCTTAAACTGATTCAAAGAGGTATGATCAATTTGTTCTTTGAATCAGCAACATGCTTAGTATTCATGAGTGAGTTTCTGTGTGTCTTTCTTCATTTCTACAAGCTTTATCTGTATCTAATTATAATAGTTGAGCGAAAAGTTGTTTAAAATACTCCTTCCAATTCAAATATTATCTAGTACCTAAACTAATGGATTGACTGTTCTCAACATAATCCGTCAATCCAATGAGAAATAAATATAATGCAACAAATGTGACTTTAGCCTTTGATGTGTTGGTCATTGATGTTCAGTATCTGTCTGACACGCATCAGACCCACTTTAGAAATAGTTGAACTTGACTATTCATAACTTGATTCTGACCTAAAATAATTTAGACACGATACCAATATTACAGTAATTTAATTTGTTCATGTCAGATTAACTTTCTTATTTTTTACCTCAATGTTTCAATTTTATCAAATTCAAATATTGTGTTCTACCTCGGTGCCTTTCAGGATAACATTGAAGAAATCTCTCCTTGAGCAGATCACTATATTGAACAGGAAATTTGTATTATCCTTAGCTTTTTTTGATAAAATGTAAGGGGTGTCTCTGTAATTTGTTGATTTTTAAATCCTTTCCGCTCGAAAGAAATCTTTGATAAGGGCAGTGTAGTGGTGTTGATGGCTTTCTCCAGATTGAGCACACCCCTCTATCTTCCCTATACTTGAGAGTATATTCAGTAATGCTCTCTATTTTACAATAAAGAAACAAGTCGGAATAGAGAGTTGATAAAAGATACTCTAGTTCTATTGGTGCAAAATATCACAGTTGTGAACATTTTTTTTCTTAAATATATCTCTCTATGTTGTAATGCTAAATGAGAAGATTGATTGTAGGTTGCCAGTGAACACAACTGCCCATTAAACTACAAGAATGGACAATACTGGTACAAGCGGAGGTAATTCTCATATAATTGATATGGACAAAGCCTGCATTCCACTGGTAAATTCTATGCAAGCGAGCTTAGACAGCTTGCCACCTCTATCTTCCGAGCGTTGCATCTTCAGGGTCTCCCCGGAACTTCGAAAAAATAATGAAGGAGCCTATACTCCTTTGACAGTATCAATCGGTCCATTTCACCGTGGCAAAGTAGAGTTACAAGCCATGGAAAAACATAAACGGAGGTACCTACAAAACTTTCTCGGACGAACCCAAAAGGGGTTGATGGATTTTGTTAAAATACTCTGGGAGAAAGAGGAAAGAATACGCCAAAGTTATGGAGAAACCTTCGAAATTGGAAGTGATGAATTGTAGAAATGATTCTTGTTGATGCTGCTTTCATCATTGAACTCATGTGGAGCAACATGTTCCATTCTATTATTGGTCTGAACGATCCTATATTCTACAAACCATGGATGATTTTGGACATAAAACGCGATTTAAGGTTACTTGAAAATCAACTTCCGTTTTTTGTTCTTGAGGATCTTTTTGACCTCGCAAACTTCCAGGCAGACCAGATCCCTGGTGAGACAGCTGAGAGGCCATCTTTGGTTAATCTAACCAGCCAATACTTCAAGAACCATTCAGGGATTCGACTCAATATTCAAAATTCTTTACGAGCGAATCATTTGCTTGATTTCCTAAGAAATTGTCTCATTCCATCGCAACCTCCAAAGCCACCCAATAAGAGAGGTAAATATCGGGCCTTACGTTGTGCAACAAAGCTCCACGAGGCTGGAGTAACGTTTAAGAAGGGAGAAAGGAAGAACTTGTTTGACGTGAAATTTGAAAATGGTGTTTTGGAAATCCCACATTTTCGTGTCAATGTTGCTACAGAATGTATTTTACAAATCTAATTGCCCTTGAGTCGTGTTATTATGATGTTTGTGACATGAGTGATTATATCTGCTTCTTGGATCACCTCATTGACTCTCCAGAGGACGTTGATTTACTTTATCGCAGCGGAATCATCAAACATCACGGGGACATCAGAGATGTGTCGAATACGTTCAACAAACTCGGCAAAGAAATTGCTATCTACCGTCAGAAGTACTATTTTGCTGGAATTCATGAACAACTGAATGAATACTGCAAGAGTCCTTGGCACAAATGGAGGGCGACCTTGAAACGAGATTATTTTGGGACTCCATGGGCTACACTATCTATCTTCATAGCTGCGATTCTTCTCCTGCTCACATTCATACAAGCGGTGTGTTCTATCATCTCCGTGACGTGAGAATTCAGAGATGGTCACTTATTGTAATATCCATAAGACTATATTATATTTATCGTGTCATCCTATTTTATGGGAATACTGCTCTTTGCAATGGCTATTGAGGTACTCTTCAACCAAGGCCGCTTCCTTTCATCTTTCACTAAATTTATGGCAGGGACTATGAATGTGATGTACGAAGCTTGGGAAAATTAATGATAAGTGAGTGAATACAAGTACGAATGATTTGTTTTTTTTTTTTTCGATAAATAAGATGAAATATCATAAATCAAAAGGGGAAACCATGTACAAGGTGAAACAAAGGGATGAACGATCTTCTAGATAGTTGGACAGAAGATCCCCCATCCCAACGCAAAAGGAACCAAAGATTACAAAAAGGAGCAAAAACAAAGGAAAACAAAGCAGAGGAGTCTGCATAAAAATAGAATAGATCAGTCCGGCAGTACCAACCAGCACCAAAACCAGTCCAGCAGCACCCACCAGCAACAGACCAACCATACCAACCAGCACGAAAAAACCAGTACAAACAGCCATCAGCACAAAAACAGACCAACAACACAAAATAGAACAGCTGCAACAGTCCAGCAGAACAACAAGCAGCTCAAGAGACACCCAAGTCAGGCTATCAACGCAAAAAGGAAAGCAGCAGCAACAGTCCAGCAGGAACAACACAACAAGCAGTAGTTCAGCAGCACCATCCAACATCAAGAAAACAAACCCAGCAGCTCAACGATCATAAAACTAGCAGCACAACAAAGATAAAACCAGCAACACAACAAAGACACCCAAGCCAGGAACCTTCACAGCCAAAATACAGAGCAAACCAGAAACAAACTATCCACTCCACCAGATCAACAAAAGGCACCCAAGGCAGGAAACTCAGGACCAAGAAACCTTCAAGGAGGATAAAAAATATCCACAGGCAAAGCCCATTGATTTTGCAGCCAAGGATTAGGAACAGTTTTTTTGTAACCCCTGCTCAAGTGTAGTTTAAATCTAATGCAATCCACCACATCTTTAGAGATAGTCACCACATCTTTATAGTCATTCCTGAAAATTCTAGCATTTCTTTCTCTCCAAATCACATACACCACAGTTGCAAGTATAAGCCTACTGATTAGTTTCCCAAGTCCCTTCCCCTTAACATTAATAGCAAACCAATTAACCAAATTCCTCCACTCCAAGCTAGGCCATTGGACATTGTGTTTGCTTTGCAAAAATAACCAGATTTTCTTTGTAAAAGAACAAGCAAATAAGAGGTGGTCATGAGTTTCGGTTACCTCTTTACAAAAAACACATTGAGCTCTTTGAAGGATACCAAAGGAAATTAATTTATCTTGGGTAGTAAGCTTCTTTCGGACTGCCAACCAAAGAATAAAGCTATACCTGGGCATAGCTCCAGAGAACCATACTATACTATGCCAGTTTTGAATTTGCCCTTTATTTCTAAGTTGTTCCCAAGCATTTTTAGTGCTGAACTCAAGTATGGGGGAAGGTAACCATTGTAAGGTGTCCTCACTATCAGGATTTGGTTTCATATCAACAGGGATCCCTCTTTTCAGCTCCAAAAGGTCCACATGATCAACCAAAGGCCAAGCCCAATCCCTTCCATCAATAATGTTGCATACCTTAGCATCCATCCCCAGTCCAGAGGCTCTCAAAACTATATCCCCCCTGTTAGCATAAATAGGCCCTTCAGGATGCCAAGGGTCTAACCAAATAAAAACAGTGTTCCCAATACCAATTTTATAGTTAACAAGGGGCTTAAAAACATCCCTCATGCTCAAAATCTTCCTCCAAGCCCAGGAGGAATTTGAAGGAATCTTAATGGACCAAAAACATCTCCCCTTCAACAAGTAGGTATCAACCCAATCCCTCTATAATGAGCTACCAGAACTACAAACAACATTCCATACATGTTTAAGAATAGCAGCTCTATTCCAATCCTCAACCCCTTTAATCCCCAAGCGCCTTTCTTGCTTAGGTAAAGACACAGTATCCCATGCCACTTTTGCGCCTCCAGGCTTTAAATCAACTCCAGACCATAGAAACCTCCTCAAGATCTATTCAATAAGAACAATGACTTTATTGGGAATGATAAACATTGAGGACTAATAAGACTGAATGGCAAAGAGAACAGAATTAATCAGTTGGACCCTTCCTGCATAAGATAAGAACTAGCTGCTCCATGAACTAACCCTCTTAGTAATTCTGCCAACAAGAGAATGGCAATCAACAGCCTTAAGTCTAGTGGTAATAAGAGGAACCCCAAGGTACTTGACAGGCAGTTCCCCATTCCAAATCCCAATTCTTGCACAATCATTGTTCTTATATCAAGATGCACACTAGATAGGAAGACATGACTCTTGGATAGATTAGGTTTGAGTCCAGAAAAGACCTCAAACACTTGAAGAACCTCTTTAATTGCTTTGATAGAATCAAGAGTGCCTTTGCAAAAGACCATAAGATCATCCGCAAAGCAAAGATGGGAAATGGACTCTTTCTCACACCTCCAGTGAAATTTAAACCTTCCTTGTTGAGTGATAGACTTCATCATTCCATTAAAAACTTCCATAACAACCACGAAAAGGTAGGGGGAGATTGGGTCACCCTGCATAAGGCCCTTTTTCCTTGCAAAGTATCCAATTAATTCACCATTAATACTAATGGAATACTTAGGGGTGGTAACACAAGTCTCAATCCAAAGTAACATCGTTTGAGGAAATCCCATCTGACTAAGCGTTTCTAATACAAACTCCCACCTCACATTATTGTATGCTTTCATGAGATCAATCTTAAGAGTGCACCTTGGAGCCCTTTCGTCCAAATGGTAATTTCTAAGCAATTTTTGTGAAAACAAAATATTATCAGAGATTCTCCTGCCTCTAACAAAGGATGCCTGTGATTTATCCACCAAATCGGGAAGGACCTCCTTGATTCTATTAGCAATAATCTTGGAGATGCATTTATAAATAACATTAAAACATGAAATAGGTCTGTATTCAGAAATTTTTGAGGGATTGGGAACCTTGGGAATAAGGGCAATGATTGTGGAATTAACCTCTTGGAGCAGCCTTCCACTCTCAAAGAAAGAAAGAATAGCATCAGTGACACCATGTCCAACAATATGCCAAAATTTCTTGAAAAAACCTACAGAGTAACCATCAGGCCCTGGGGCTTTGCCGTCCTTCATGGAGAACATAACCTTTTTAATTTCCTCCCTAGTAACCATTTGTTCCATTACACAAGCCTGTTGCCCAGAGATTCTTCGAGTAATGAATTGCCTTACCCAATGCATAGGAATCAGAGGCCGAGGGTAACTCTGGAGCTGTCCTCCTTCTCAATTGTAGTTAATCTCCTCTGGATTCTTTGCTTGCTAATGGTTTTAAAGAAATACCTTGTATTTTGGTCCTCCATGTTCAGCCATTGGACCCTGGATTTTTGTTTAAGAAAACTCTCTTCAGCCTCTCTCAAGTGGACATAATCTTGAAGCTTCCTCCTTTCCTCCTCCCAAATTTCTTCATTATGAGGATTTCTATCAAATTTCCTTTGAACATCATCCAAAGCTTGCTTAGCACCCATAGCGCTTGTGGAGATGTCACTATATGAATTTTTGTTGAGTTCTTTTAGCTCTTTCTTCAGCACATTCAATTTTTGGTAGACCCGAAACATAGGAGTGCCCCTGATCTTTGTATTCCAAGCATTGCTCACAATTGGAAAGAAACCCTGATGTTTGGTCCATAAATCAAAAAACTTGAAAGGTCTTCTACCCTTGGGTTGTCCCTCACCAAGTCGAAGTAATGCCATTGAGTGGTCAGATACCTTTGGAACCAGGAAAAAACCTTTGGAAGCAAGGAATTCAGTAGCCCACGATTCATTAACCAGGATCCTGTCCAATTTGCTAGAAATAATACCACCATTATACCTTTTGTTGCACCAGGTGTATTGATTACCTGAGTACTTTAAATCCTCAAGCTCCACTCTAAAAAGACAATCACAGAACTCCTCACTACCTTTATCTCTGGCATTACATCCCCCCAACTGTTCTTCCGTAGACCTGACAACATTAAAATCACCCGGCACAACCCATGCTTTATTCATCATACATGCATGCCTTTGCACCAGGCTAAGCCACAGTGGTCTTCTAAGCACTTCCGTATTTTGGGCATAGACAAAAGAGGGAAAAAAGACTCTCTTGTTGGCCAAGTAGGTAGCCTTACAATGGATAACCTGATCATTTTGGTCCAGCTTTTCAACCTCATAAACAAGAGGATCCCAGCAGGTGAATAACTTCCTTATAATTGGGTGCAGGTGAATGTTGAGTTATAAATACGAATAATATTTATGTGTCTAGGCGAATGGATATAATTAATGTGGTCATGTAAAGGCCAAATCACTCTCACCTTAGCACCACACCAACTAAGTAAATAATAAACTTTGCGAGTTCTAGTCAGACAAAAAGTGAAAATACTTGTCCAAGAGATTTCTCTATAATGGGTATTTTGAATATGCACTTTTGATGAGTCCAAATTTTTTTGGACATCAAACAATTTTATCTCTTTGAAAGTGTTTGCATCTATATAATGGACTTTTGAGTTGTCTGTCAGACAGGCCTTTATCCTTTTGGTTTCTTTGTCTTTTGGCATATTATTGTGTTTTTTCTCTTTGTTGAAGTATAAATACATAAGTTATACCAGCTTTAACAGTTCAAACTTTTGGAATAAATGATTTTTTAACAATCATTTCTCTCTACAATCCCGATACCTGGCTTGAGGGTTAGGAATTGATCACATCCATGCCGCGAGATAAACAAAAAGCCAATACTTTACTTTCTTTTGGAGGACAAATGGCATTGTATCCCTCAAGTACTTTAACATTAATATATTTTATTTATACTCTCAAAGATAAAATGTATCCCACCGCAAAACCTAAGTGATGTTAGTGTTTTCTTCGGTAAAAACATAACAATGGTACTTTGCTCTTGAAATTATTTATTTATTTATTTATTTTTTTGAATTATAAACTTGTATTAAGACAAAAAAAGGTACAAATGTACAAAAGAAAGCTTGCACAATCAAGCCATGATCAGAACACCACAAAGAAAGCAAAGCCAACAAAAGAAGGCATTAAGATGGAAGTAGAGCAAATGACTTTACTTACCCCCTAATCCCATCCCTGGCCAGTAGCAAAGCACAAAAACTCTCAAACAAGACAAATAGATGAGAGGTTCCAATGATGCACTAAAAGCAGATTCTGAGGATTGACCTTGAACTTAAGTAGAGAAAATCTTTCTCTGATAGTTGTTTGAATTATGAAAAGCAAACTCTGTTGGGATGTAATCAGATTGTTAAAGATCATATTGTTTCTCTCCCTACATAAGTTGTAAACAGTGACAGAGAGGCAGAGCTTGAAGAGAACAACCTTCAAAGATTTTCCTTTCCAATTAACAGTTGCCCAACCAATGAAGTCATTCCATTGGAGAGCTTGAGGTTGCTAGATACATTGCTGCATCAGCTTAGTCCAAATACCAAAAGCATAAGTGCACTCAAAGAACAAATGATGATGAAATTATGAGAGTTGATGACACAAAGAGCAAGTGAGAGCGATAATAACCGATAATAAGTTAAAACTGATAATAGGAGTGTGAGTTAATACTGCACAAGGAAATGACCAATAATTAAATT